GAATATGGGGTATATGGGGAACTTACTATAATATACCCAAAGCCATATCCTATCCACTTAAGGGGGACTATAGCAATACTTACAATGGCGATGATAATGACGATATCGAAGTATGACAATGGTGTGGCTTCTGAGTGCGATATTGGTCATGATGCATCTCACTATCAGCTGCCGTGGTGTGCCACAGCTGAAACTCCTCGAACGCCCTCACACCATTTTCTCAGTGGGAGAAACAACATTGTGCAAGAAGATCCTCTGTGCTCCCTTTTTAGAAGACGGCAGAAAGACTTCCCGGAGTTACTTGCCCACAACGCCCACTCTTTCACCGATGGAATTTGTATGAATTTGTCTAAACAGGACACCATCAGGGTGTTCCAGGCTGCGGGTACAACCGGGTTCTAGGGGTGCCGCTGGAAAACATGGCTTCATGTGTTGAGAAATCTGCACATTATTGAAGTGAAGAGTCGTTCCGCAGCTGCGAGCGCGTGCCACGTTGCGAGATGTCGCCGCGATTGTGGCGGCGATTCACAACCTCCAAAGTCGGTGCTTCATCGCGCCCAAACTAGCCATGCTACTGATACCGCGTACAAACTTACGAAACATACCTTGTACTCCCTTCCGAATATGTCGCAAGGTGCATTCCAGAATTCATCGGTGGCTCCATGCAAACGTTCCCTAACAGACTCCTCTTCAGCCTTGATCACCACTACCAGCCTACGCTATCCTTTCATGCCAGGTCATTCTGCTGATGCAGGTTTAGAGATGACACCTGCAACCCCAATTTGTTACAGTTCTCACAAGTTGTTATACCCATTCATCAAGGGCAATGACACCAAGCTATAGGTACTTGGGGTTACAGGTAGGTTTCAGGGATTAGACAAAAAATCTTCATGCTGCACACCAGAAACCGTAGTCCCGCAACCTGATATGGATAAGGGTCCATGTACTAAAATAGTGGGACCCCAGGTACCGCGCTCTTTCAAAAGGACGATCGTCTGCGGAGAGCCGCTTTCAGGTTCTAGGGCTTAGGGTCTCTATGTCAGTTTTCTGGAGGGCAAGCCGTGAAGTCTACATAGACCTTCAATGCTACAAGGCTGGGCACGGACTCCCAGCGATCCAGCAAAAGAAGCTGCTGGGCGACGGCGAAGTCTGTACCTCAACGCGTAGCAGTCATATGAGGGTAAGTTCTGCAATAAGAGGCTCTCTTTTGGGCAGCATAAAGGCATGAAAGATATATACGGACGTAGAGTGGGTATGCCTTCCTTAGGTGTAGAAGAAGGAATATGGTCTTCAGGGATAGGTAAGGGGACACCTTTCTTGGAGACTCCCAGCTAGGAGAAGAAGTTGAGTTTAGGAGTCCAGGAAACGGGCTCTCAAAAGCGGGAGTCTATAGGGACCTTAGGGATAGAAGGGGTGTACAATTGATTTACGACTTCAATCCGGGATTATGCAGGATTCTTTCGAGAAACTCCCATCTGACATGGAAGTGCTTTTGAAATTGCATGTCTGCTGCGTTGTCCTTACGACACCTCAGTCATGTTCGAAGACGAACAGGCACAACAGCTAGCCATTCCCCTAATTGCTGAGGTCTTTGTCCTCTACATGATGGAACGGGGGCTTCTTTTCAGGAGCCCTTCACCCTAAACCCTGTATAGGTTACATGAGCACTGCACTGGGCTGTTGCAGCGTCTGTGCACCCGGTGACTTTGTGCAAGACCTCTCTATAATGGGTTGCTGTTAAGGAACTTATCTTAAGTTACTACATTGGGGAAAGCATGTTTATTACTATATATATCCATGATGGGAACTTAATTCAAGTTCCTTAAAAGCAACACGGTACAATGTGAATGCAGGGAATGCAAATGAGCAACGGCAGCCATCCCACGGCTGAGCATTTGGGGTTTATGGCTTAGGTTTTTTGGGTTTCGGGTTGGTGGTTTAGGGCCGAAAGGATTTTGGGTTTAGGTTGTTACCTCCCGTGTAGGTGGGGGGTTTAGGGTTGAGGTTTTTAGGGTTTAGGATGGAGGCTCATTACTGGAGGTCCTGCACAACCTTGATAAACCATAGCGCCATGATCCCCACGGTATAATGTACTTTGCGTCCGGCAGGGTTTGAAGTATCCACCCTCTAAACCTCTATAGAATCCCAGTTTCCGTTCCATGTTCCACTTTCTTCTCCATTTGGTTCTCCAGGGGTAACCAGCGTAATGATGCATTGTGCTTCGGGTTCAGGGGCCGCACCCTCAACCTTAAACCCTGCACCCTAAACTCAACATTACTTGGCAGACACGGCTGAAACGAACCCCCGTGTCAGAGCAAAAGGGCCACCTTCCCAAAAGATCTTCAGCTTTAGGGTTTCAGATCTAACAAATTGCCTTTTCGGGTTCCTACCTTGAAGGCGTTGGGTTTCAGGGTCTCATATAAAGACGTGTGGTATGTGTCCAAAAATCGAGGGTCTTCGGGGTCTGAGGAAGGCACAACTTTCAGCTAAGGGCTATCCACTCGGCTCATAATTTGATCAAAGTGATCATCCTAAAGAAGCCGATTTTAACTTTCTGGTGGCTGTTGCTTCACGTGTGTTTGGCTAAGAACCGCAGAAAAGTTGACTCCATGTCTTGATCCTTGAAGTTCCTGGATCATTGCGACTCTTTAGCCCCAACCCCTCCGCGCCCTCCCAGACTCTTCCGCAGAGAGCCCTACACAAGCTCTTCTCAAAGTCATCTCCCATCCCAAGGCTCCACTTTCTGAAGCCTCAAAGCCAGTAACCTTAAAAGAAACCATCTAAAGTCCACTCGAACCCCAAGGGTGAAATTGTCAGTATATACTTTGATGCGGTTTAGGGTTTAGGGTTTAGACACGCGCATCTCACACAGCAGGCACGGCTAAGAACGTGGAGGTCGGCACTGGGTTTAGGGTTTAGGGACTTAGGGCCCAGGAAAGGATCCGCATAACAACTCTGGGGCCCAAGTACATACTAGATACCTCCATGAACCTCTCGGAAACTTTTAAAAGGTTCTGAAGGCATCTACCATGCCGCCCCAAACACTTCTATACCCTCTCATGATGCAGTGTGCAACTTATTCTGCAACCCTCCTGGAACTTAAGCCCAAAACCCCAAACCCCTAAACCTTAAGCCTAAACCCTCTTTGAACTGTCTTTCACCAGGCATCTTGCGACCCGAGGTGCTACTTTCCAGCTTCAACTTGTATCGACCCGTCGGATTCTGTGGATTGAATTGCAGAAAATTCTCCATCTTCCTGCCGGACTTACCAAGGTTTAGGGTTAAGGGTTTATGTAGGGGTGGGTGCTGCTACGTCGTTTAGGACGAACTGTGGTTCGTAGGGAATGTAGCATTGAGATTTAGGGACTATGACAAGGTAGGATGTCAAAAGCAACGGCTGCTACGGTGGGGTTTAGGGTCCTGTTGGTCAGATGGGCTCAGTGTTTCGCCTTCAGCGCTTAAGGCCTTCGAGTTTGGGGCGGCTCGTAGGGAATAAGTGGATTCTACTTGAGTTGTGGCCTAAACCCTTTGAACCTTCTGTTCTTATTTGTTGCGCTATCGCGGATGCCAGTCGCAATACTGACGCGAACTATCGCGGCTTAATTTCAGGCTACTAAACCTCATTTGACTGACGCGGCCACAATGGGAACCCTGTTTTTAAGAATGCAAAGCTAAGCAGTCTGATGTTCATGTTTTACTGACGCGAACTATCGAAAACACCATAAAAGCTGATGCGGCCAAT